CAACAAATACAGTTGTATGATGCTTACTGACAGTAAAAAAGCATTTCTTTGTAAAGACAGAATAAATGTGCTCCAGAAAACTTTTTAATGGATTTAAGAATGTCAATGTTTGAAGTCCTTTTTCCACCCATTTTATCTTAAGAGATAAACACTTTCTAACATGGCAATCCCAGGTAAAAATCTCAATGGGTAGTTAAGGATATTTCAACTTAAAAGTAAAATCTTTACATATCTTTAATATCATATTGTATTCTCACCTATCAAACAGGGCCAAAAGTGTCAGTCTGTCGAAGTTAATGCCAATCCATAGTTGGGGTAGGATCCAAAAACGGTAATAATGTTTAACCTTTTGGGCAGCTTCTTCTGTTGGACCATAAGTAGCTGCCAAGTCAGGGCTTAGATCAATGCCCTGTTGCTCCAACAAATCTGTGTCGATGGTCAATAATCTATTCAGTCGAATCTGTGGAAGAGAGAGCTAAAAGAAAGTCAGCATTGATGGTATATTTTATGATCATCAGAAATTACAGAAGTTAACACTAAAACACAACAGTCAACTGACTTTTTATTAAAGTTTTATTAGGAAAGACTTCACAGTCTTCAGAGTTTATGAACTTTGTAACTGTTAATTATTAGTTGCTTCTCTTCTCCCTGTTACATTTTGTTCTTTTCTCATTAAGCTGTGTATCACATTATCATTGTCCAATCTGACATGCTCTGTGTTGGAGTCAATGTCTACGACTCTCAAATCTTCCTACAGTCTCTTATCACCGTTACAATTGTTTTCATATTCTCCATCCCTTTTTTATTGTTTTGTTTTGGGAAGTTGCTCATCTATGGCTATACAGAAAATGACTACACTTCATTTCTTTCAAATTGAATGCATTCATTCACCAGTTTCTTCTTTTCTCTTAAAGTATCAAAAGACTGCTGTTTAACTACTCAGCATTAGACACCATTTGCTATTCAAGGGTATTTCATAGTACTACTTGAGAGTTCTGGTGTGGTACTGCAGGATAAGCCTTGGAGTGATAAACACAAGGTCTGTCGTTCAAGCCCACCAGTTGCTTCTTGGAAACCCTTTACAGGGTCACCGTGAGTTGGAACTGACTTGACAATATTACAAAGCAATAAAACAATCATCTTCCCATTTTTTATTGCCAATGGAGTTTCCAGGAATATATATACTTATTAGGATGTAGTCATGAATTTTGCTTCCTATATATAAAATCCTAATTTCGTTCTCTAAGCACTAACAATTCTTGGTGATACATGCTTTCTTATCCTCTCTGCCAGGGTTTCTTAACCTTGGCACTACTGGTTCAGAAAATTTTTGTGGGTGGCTGTTCTGAGTATTGTAGAATGTGTTCCTGACCCAAGCCATGGTATTTTCAATAGCCTCATATGCATGTAAAAATAAGGAAGACCATAGAAGAACTGATGCATTTGAGTTATGGTATTAAAGAAGAATATTAAAAGTACCATGGAACAAACAAATCTGTGTCGGAAGAAGTATAACAAGAATGCTCCTTGGAAGACAGATGGCCAGACTTTGTCTCTCATACTTTGGACATAGTATTAGTAGGGACCAGATCCAGGAGAAGGACATAATGCTTGGTAAAGTGGAAGGTCAGTGAAAAAGAGGAAGATCCCAATGAGAATGATTGGCACACTGGCCACAGCAATTTGCTGAAGCGTAACAACGATTGTGAGGATGGCGCAGGACCAGGCGGTGTTTCATTCTGCTGTATATAAGGTCACTATGAGTTGGAATTGACTTGACAGCACCTAACACCACCACCACTCACTGGATACCAATAGCATTCCTCCAGCGCGACAACCAAAAATGTCTCCAGATTTCACTGCCTACTGGTTGAAAATCAATCCTCCATGCCAACACAGATCTGTAATCTTAAAACCCTGAAAACATCTCATCAACTTCAGAAAATTACCAACAATTCATCCTTTTGGCACAATGAAAAATGGGAAACACAGATCATGAAGTTATTGAGTAAATGAACCACTACATATCCCTAAAGAATGTAATTAAGATTCATTAATGCAACTAACTGAACCTCATGGTATTTTATGTATGTTTCTTTCTTAACAAAGGACTTACCAGAAGGGATGATTTTGCCACAGTTTTCAATAAAATTGTTATCTTATAAAATGATCCACTTTTATGATATTTTTAATAGTTACTAAGGAGCTCCAGTAGCGTAGTGGTTACGAATCGAGCTGTGAACCGCAAGGTCAGCAGTTTGAAACTACCAGCGGTTCCGCAGGAGAAAGATGAGGCGTTCTGCTCCCGTAAAGATTTACAGCCTCGGAAACCCTGTGCAGGGTCGCTATGAGTCGGAACCGACTCCACGGCAATTAACAACAACAATAACAACAACAAGGCTGACTATGTATCATTTTACAAAAATAAAGGAAAACCTACCACATCATGCGGATAAAATCGAACTGAGGTAGAACTGGATACGTGAGAATCCGTGTCACTAAAATGAATTGAAGAAGATTTTAGGAATAAATAGTTTGTCAAATAGTAGGAAGACAAATTCTTTATGTTAAATTCTTTTACAATTAGATGTTATTTACACTCACTTAATTTTTCCATGTAAATGTCAAAATGCAAAATGTCATTCCCTAGAACCGCAATTAAGAGCAACAGCCAGTAGGACAGAGTGTCTATATTCAAATCTCTTCTTTGACTGAATGAGATTCGTAGGCAAGTTACCTAACACCTCTTTATACCTCAGTTTTCTCATCAGTAACATCAAAACAATGTACCCATATCACAAAGTTCTTATGAAAAGTATTTAAATGAGATTATCCATAGACAGCAATTAAGATTAGCCTGGAACCATCGAATTCACAATAAACATAAACTACACTATAATAAACTAGGGAATCCCAGTATGGCACTGTAGGGTAAGTTCTGGACTTTACACCACAAGGTGGGTGATTCAAACCTACCAGTGGCTCCTTGGAAACCTTATACAGGGTTACTATGAGTCAGATCCAACTCAATGGTACGTAACAACAACCACATAATAAGAATCAAATGACACTTGTGAAAAAAATGAGTTAATTCATTTAAAAAAAAAAAGGGTAAAAAGCAGCAACTACAAAAGATGACCACTAAGATTAAAAATTTAGAAAACAAAATATTAATACCACTTAAAGTTCAAATTATATTACATAATCAAAGCTTCTAGCTTCTTATTTGCTTTTCTCATAACTTCTGCAATATCTTTAAGTAATTCCTTCTTAAGATAAGGAGAGAAAAAAAACTAAGTGTACTAATACTAACTGCATATTGTAAGAAATTCTTCCTTCTCAGAGCTGGCAAAAAGAAAACTGAATGCTAGCAACTGGACCAAAATATTAGGAAATAATTTTTTTTTTTTTTCATAAAAAAAGAGAACTTACAAGTTTTAACTTACATGAGCAAATATTTTTCTGACAAGCTTTTCAAAAATCAAGATACACACACACACATATGTATGTATGTGGGAGAAAAGAGGCTTTTTGCTCCTGCAAGGATTTTAAAAACCTTGGAAATCCTATACAAGGTCTTTATGATTTGGAACCGACTCAAAGGCACTTAACAACAATATATATTTGGCACTTAACAACAATATATATGTGTGTGTGTGTGTGTGTGTGTGTGTGTGTGTGTGTGTGTGTACGCATATTCACACAGACACAAGGGGCTTTAAAAATTGTGGGAAATTCCATCATCTTTTAATTTCACTTTTCCATAAATTTTTTTTACTGTGTACAGTATGTGTGTATGAGTATGTACGTGTGTAGATAGACAGAAATAGTGAGATACATGTAAATATTATTTACATATAATACAAATAAAAAATACATTTTGTATTGCTAACGTTGAGATTGTGGGAAAACATTGCCCCTATAAAAAGTATAGGCTATTCTGATCTATATATTTTTTTTTAATGCAAAATAGGTTTTATTTTTAAAATAATGCTTTCTTCTAAAGCAAAAAGTTCTATTTTAATTATTTGGAAACAAATGCATCATCATAAGTTATTTAAGCAAATGTTTTCAAAGTGACTTTGAAATTTCAGGTCTTCAAAATTTTAAACATGGCAAATATATGCAAATATACAGACACCCCTAATACGGCTTTAACATACCAGACATTGGATGTTCTTCTTGCTGCTGGTTCAAAATTCACAAGTGACATATCACAGCCACCAGTCTCATAGAGCGTAGAAGAGAACTTACCTAGCAAATAAATGATGTTTATAAAAAGCCATTAGAATACTCAAAATTTTGCCTTCATTACATAGTAAATCTCACAGCTGTTACATTTTTAAAAACTTTATAATAGCCTTCTTTTCCAATATATGCTTTAATATATTTCTAATACATTAATTCAGCATGATGCGAACTGAAAAGGAATGCTAGACAGTGGGGTGACGTATCAACATGAATGGTTGCTTGCTTGGTATGTGCCAAAGTCAGTTTTGACTCACAGCAACACTACATTCGGTTTCCAAGGAACAGCCAGTAATTTCAAACCACCAACCTTGTGCTAGCAAGTCCAGTGCTTATCCTACAGCACCATACCAGGACTCCAACAACACATATAATCCAGTGTTTAAAGTAAAGGATTTTAAGTCAGCTTTGCAATAGAGTAGTCTCATTCTCTCTTCCCCTCCTAAAACATTCTAAAATCAAGTAATCATATGAATGAATTCTATACTCTTTAAGTCACCTTACTACTAATAGTGAGTGGTCAATTCATAACGCTGCTTAAGTTTTAATAGTTTTTGAAATTTTTAAGTTTTCATAGTTCAAACTATGAAATAAAACTGCAAGATAACCCAATTGTGATTGCTTCCTCGGTTTTAGGATGAAAAGTGTCAAAATGTATTTAAGAAATTTGAATAACTGAATGGATTTTAATAATGTTGGTGATATTTAAATTATAGGATTGCATGAGCATTATTAGCTATGTGATTCTACCACCAGAGATCCATGAAAAATTTAGGAACCACAATAGTTGCAACCAAATAACTCTATAAAACCAATGCATGTTTACACATTATACTGATGGCAAGTAAATACAAGTTAAAAACTTATTCTCCTAACATAAACTCAATACAACAAGATGATTTCCAATATGGAATTTTAAAAATCAGCATTCTGTCTGAAATCCATTCTTAGAGTTTCTACAGTAGTCATATCCGTGGTGGGGAGAGAGAATAAATAAATGAACACAAATATAAGTAGAGCAAGGATATGAACATATAAAACTATAACCATTTGGGACTCGTCTATGTGACTTTTTAAGGATTTATGAGATTTTACTTTAGTAGCTGGAATTACTGAGGTTATAAGTATGAGGCACTTTGAAGGGGCAATCTCTACTTGATGGCAGGACTAAAGTCAGATTTCTCTTCCATGTCTACAACAAACACGGTTTGCAATAAAGATTAAATGAAAGACTTGATAAACAAACAAAAACAGGACATCATAATATATTAATAACTATTGTTACAAGGCATCCTCAAGTCAGTTTTGACTCATGTTGTTGTTGTTAAGTGCTTTGAGAAAGTTCCGACTCATTGTGACCCTGTATAAGGTTTCTAAGGCTCAACTGGTGAGTTTGACTTGCAGACCTTGTGGTTAGCAGTCAAATGTTTATCCTATAACATCACACCAGGATTCCATATAGTGGTAAAATAACATAACAATATTACTTTACTGATCACTTTGAATATCACAAAGAGTAATATCTTACGTTGATTTCAATTGCATACAAATATTATTTTCAGTATTCCAAGAACAGGGATTATTTATATTACAGAAAATTCATGGAAAACTTAAATATACAAAATATGCTGAAATAATTAGAAGCCTACTGAATACAGAATTAACTTATTTCTATGTATACACAAGAAGGCTCCAGGAATTGCCAGAATACAAATGAAATCTTTCAAGAAATGGATGCAGCACTATAGGTGCTCACTCATTTATGTCAAGAAATTTGGAAATTCGCATATATGGCCAAACAAATGGTAGAGATCCACATTTTTCCAGAGAGGGGACCTAATGGAATGTGGAAATCATCAAACAATATCATTAATATCACATGCAAGGAAAAATAATGTAAAAAAACAGCTGCATAGCACATCAACAGGGAACTTTTCCTAAAACTTAAGCCAGATTCAGATGAGGACATGAAATGAGGGCTATTACTACTGACATCAGATAGGACTTGGTTGAAAGCAGAGAATACCAGAAAGATTTTTACTTGTGCTTTACTGACTATGTAAAGGCTTTCAACTGTGTGGACCATGACAAGCTATGGAAAACATTGTAAAGAATAGGCATTCGAGAACACGTGATTGTGCTCATGAGAAACCTTTACATAGCCCAAGAGGCAGTTGTTCAATCATAACAGGTGTTATGTTATTCAAATTGGAAAAGGTGTGCACCAGGGCTGCATTTTTTCACCATACATATTCAAATGAGTAAATAATCCGAGAAAATGGATTATAGGAAGAACAGAGCATCAGGACTGAAGACATAAAAAACCTGTAATATGCAAATAATACAACCTTGCTTACTGAAAGGGAAAAGGATTTAAAATACCTATTGATGAAGATCAACCACTATAGCTTTTAGTATGGATTGCATCTCAATGTAAAGGAAAAAAAAAACAAAAAACTTCTTACCACTTGAACAATAAATAACATCATGATAAATGGAGAAAAGACTGAAGTTGTCAAAGACTTCATTTTGCTTAGATCCACAATCAATACTCATGGAAACAGAAATGAAGAAATCAAACTACATATTGCACTATGTAGATGTGCTGCACAAGACCTGTTTAAAGTGTTCAAGAGCAAAGTTACCAGTTTCAGCACTAAGACATGCACCTGAGCCAAGCCATGGTATTTTCAACTGCCTTTTATACATGTGTAAGTGGACAGTGAGTAAGAAAGACTGTAGAAGAATTGGTGCATTTGAGTTATGGTGTTGGGGAAGAATATGAAAAGTACCATGGGCTGCCAGAAGAAGAAATAGGTGTACTGGGAAGAGGTACAGCCAGAATGCTCATTGGAGGCAAGGATGGCGAGACTTAGTCTTTCATACTTTGGACTCTGGACATGTTATCAGGAGGGATGCTGGAGAAAGAGGGTCAGCAAAAAAGAGGAAGATGCTCCAAGGAGTAGGATTGACAGTACGGCAGCAGCAATGGACTCAAGTGTAACAACATCTCTGAGGATGGTGCAACATACCACTATATTGTCTTTTAGTCATAGATGCCTAGTAATTAAACTTATACAGCAATAGCTGCATTTTAAATAGATAAAAAGATAGAAATAAAGCATGCAAAAAACGCTTTTCCAGACAAAAAGAAAGCTGGAAAAATTGGGTAGTTTTATTACTACATAAATGTACAATACTGAATTATTTTACACAAAACAATGACTAACAAGTAATAAAATGTATAATATACACATAAGTACACAATGTGCCTAAGAAAGGGGCAATTATCATTTTAACAGATGAGCATGACTTTGGTAGTATTTTTTTTTTCTTACGCATGCTTTTGTCAGCCCACTAAACCTTTAGAAGAATCAGCATGTTCAGGTTCTTAAACATACTCATGGCATTCGTTGGAACTAAACAACATTGTAGCAGAGCTTTATGGTATATTCCTGACTTAACTCCACCAAAAGAACAGATTCTATGTGCCCCTTACATCTTGGAGTTTGACAAGTGACAACACTTCAGAAGTAATAAATTTTATTCAGAAGGTAAACAAGAGAAAATTTAAACTAAAAATTTCTTAAAAATTGTAGTGAAAATTTTAGTAACATTTTAATGTAGGAATATGATGATCTATTAAAGGCAGTACAGCAGTTAAAGTTTTGTGTTAATTGACAGGGCCAGGATCTCAGTGAGATGTAGGAATCCTCCAGAATGGGATCTGCTATGAGTAGCTAATCAATTGAAAGAAGGTTTCAGGATTGGAGGAAGACTCATTAACAACCTATGATATGCAGATGAGACAATCTTACTTGCTGAAAGTGAAGAGGACTTAAAATACACACTGATAAAAATCAAAGACCACAGCCTCCAGTATGGGTTGCATCTCAATGTAAAGAAAACAAAATCCTCACAACTGGAACAATAAATACAATCATGATAAACAGAAGAGATTGAAGTTGTCAAAGGTTATATTTTGCTTGGATCCACAATCAACATTCATGGAAGCAGCATTCAAGAAATCAACAGACATGTTACATTAGGTAAATCTGATCCAACAAATCTCTTGAAAGTGTTAGGCAAAAACAGCAATTAAAGGACCAAGGTGAAACTGGTACAAATCAGATTATTCTCAAATATCTCATATTAATATAAAAGTTGGGCAATGAATAAAGAAGCAAGTAGAAGAATTGATGCATCTGAATTATGATGCTGGAATATAATATTGGGGTGAAGGCGGGCCTGGATGGTGACTAGGGTTGAGGTGCAGTGAAGCTCACCATCAGCAAGACCACAGAATACCAGGAAAAGCAGAACCAGGACAAAGCTCCAAAACTCGGAACCACATAGGTATGAGTACTTTAAAAGTTTGAAGGCTTATAGCTAGTGGAACTTGAAGCGGAAGTATGAAATCGTGTACTTTTGAATCTGATTCAGTAAAAAAGCTACTAGACCTGACTGGAACATTCAGCAAGTGGCAAAATATAAGATCAACATACAAAAATCAGTTGGATTCCTCTATACCAGAAACGACAGCGTCGAAAAGGACATTAGGAAAGCAATACCATTTACAATAGCCACCCAAAGGATGAAATATCTAGGTATAAATGTAACCAGAGAAACTAAGGACCTATACAAAGAAAACTAAAAACACTACTACAAGAAACCCAAAGAGACTTACAAAGATGGAAGAAGGTACCATGTTCCTGGGTAGGAAGAGTCAACAATAAAACAATAAACACCACCACCAAAAAAGAATATTGGAATTACTATGGATTGTCAGAAGAAACAAACAAAATCTGTATTGGAAGGACAGCCAGAGTGCTCCTTAGAAGCAAGGATGGCAAGACTTCGTCTCTAGTTCTTTGGACATGTCAGGAAGGACCAGTCCCTAGAGAAGAACACTATGCTTGGTAAAGTAGAAGACCAGCGAAAATGAAGAAGGCCCCAATGAAAAGGAATGGCAACAGTGGCAACAACAACAGGATTAAACATAACAA